CCAAGAAGCTTGAGAAACAGGACTTCCTACAGGACTTCTCAGAGCCTTTAGCATGCATTGGCACCTTCTCGGAAGGAAATGAAATATTACAGCATTTCTTAACATTATTTGAACTTGGAGAACTTTTATTTGAGGAGCATCTCACAGCATGTCTTTTTGCTTTAAAAAATACTATCAATCATATTGGATTAGAGCCTATTAAAATACTATCAATAAATACCATTTATGAATAATTTACTGCCTGCCAAGTATATGCACTATCTCGTAAATTCTCAGAAAAAACTACGAAGTGGGTACTAGTGTTGTTGCTATTTATAGATGATAAAACTGAGGATTGGAGAGTAACATGTCCAAGCTCACAGGACTGTAAGTAGTAAGGTGGTGGGTCCAAACCTCTCTGATTACAGAATCCACCATCCCGTCAGGCCAGGCAGAGGAGAGAACGTGTGGCATCCCAGACAGCTGGTAGGAGGCCATGATGGATCTGGGTTCAGGCATCTTCACTCCTGCTCCAATTGCTTTTTCATACTTTGCTGCTTCTAGATTCATGGACATGTCAGATGGTGGGTAATGTCCATCTCCCTACATGCACTTCCTTCCCACACACCCAGAGCTGTGGCCAAGGGACCAGCTGGGGATGAAGCAGAACCTGGTTCTGAACCTGGTTCTTGCCCCATCATCAACATGCACATGACCTTCACTTCTATGGACCCAACACATGGACCAGTCCCTAAGCTGGGTCCTTCTGTCATGGGCCAGGCTGTTGACAACCCAGCTCACAGAAGCAAGCCCTAGATCACTCTAGGTATGTGGTTTTTACATATTTTTAAATGGTTGAAGAAAAATAAAAGAGTATTTTGTGACACTCTAGTGAAAATTACATGAGATGCGAATCTCAGTGTCCATAAACGAAGTTCTCTTGGCACGCAGCCACACTCATTGTTCACATACTGCCATGGCTGCCTGTGCGTTACGACGGCGGAGCTGAATAGCTGTAACAGGGGCCCTCTGCCCGCAAAGCCTAAAATATTTACTTTTTGGCTCTTTACAGAAGAAGTTTGCTGAACCCTGTTCCAGATGAAAGAAATCAAAGCCCAGTATCATCATCATTCACATCTGGTGATTTCCTTCTCAAGTAGCTAGTTTCATTCCTGCTTTTCAGGGGTTGGCGGGAACGAAGCCCGTGACTAAGCCTCAGGAATGAAGAGAAGCTGCCGACCAGGCCGAGGGGCGGGCCCGGGCTCAGGAGTGTCCCAGCACTGCCCTCCACCCTGCAGGCCCCCAAGCGAGTTCCTTCTACTGGGGCTGTGGACTAACATACTTCTGACATAACATGCTCTCGACAAATATATATCAAATGTCTACGATGTGCCACATGAGGCATTGCTTGAGATATATACACACACACACAAATATAGATTATATACACACCTGTATATATATATATATATATATATATATATATATATACTATGTAGGTATGTAATATATAAAACTCTCTGCTAGTTATAAGCACTGTAAAGCATGCTAAGGAGGTAGTGATGGTGAGGAGGTGTTTCTTTAAATAAGGGGGCCAGAAAGGATCTCCCAGGTGATATAAGCAGACACGTTTATGAAGCAATGAATTAGTCATGTCTTCCAGGTGGTGGGAAGAGCAAGCGCAAAGGCCTGAGCTGGAAACGTCCTGTGTGCTTAAGGACAGCAACATCAAGACAGTTTAGGGGCAGAGCCTAAGGGGTGCTGGGTAGCAGAGGGGCCCAAGGAGCAAGCAGGGGGCAGGCGGAGCACTTTCTAGGCCAAGGACAGGGGTCCGGGCACTCTGCTAAGTGCACTGGGGGCCTGCGGTGTCCTGTGTCACGGCACAGCCTGTCCCGATGACTTCAAAGGGAATCAGTTACGTGGAGACCGGATTGAGGGGTGCGTCTCAATGCCCCAGGAGCTCCTCTGGATCCTCAGGGTGGGATATCATGAGGTGAAGACCTCCTGGGAGGCAGGTAGGTGCTGCAGCTCTCCAAGCTGAAAGGCTAGAAAAGGACAAGGGTGCGGTGCCCACCGCGCCTCAAACACTGGGCGGGTGAGCAGTCGGTCGGGGCGCTGCAGGCCGAGGGGCAGGGGCAGGTCAGGCAGCGGAGTGGACCGAGCGTGGTCGCGCTGGCCTCATCCTCCAGGAAGTCTCCCCGGGGTGGCCCTGGGGCCTTCTTTGTGCTCCACACCCCCTGGAGCTCCCCCGCGTGGGGCCTGGCCCGCTACAATGACGTGCCTGTCTTCTCTGAGGCCCCCTCACTGCTCCAGGAGCTCCCGGCTGGCAGGGCCCGGCTTGCAAGCACCGAGCAGGTGGCCAGGAGCGGGCACGTATCGAACCACTAAACCAGATGCTGGAGCTGGAAGGATGGCTGGCAGCAGGCTGGGAGGGGAAGAGGAGGGCCCAGACGTCTAACTTCTCCTTCCACTGGCATGAACACGGGCCTGGTTTGGTATTCCAGAGCCTTCCTTCCAGGGTCTGGGTGACACACCTCTCGCCTGCGCAGAGCCTGGAGCTCAACTGACCGTGTGTTCCCGTGGTATGTCCCATGTTCCTCGGCACCCGTGTCCAAACACACCATGCTGTGAGCTCCTCAAAGCCCCTCCGTTTGTGAAGCTTGCCCTAACCCCACAGTGCCTAGGACAGAGGGAGAGGAGGAAATCCTCATTGAAGGGGTTTTGCACGAAAAAATCGTTAGTCCTGCTGATCATTCTGTGGATATTTACTACTGTGTGAGCAAACAAAGAAAAGTGATCTGCCCCATGGTCAAAGAGCCAGTAAATAGCAGAACCAATCTGTGTTCTTTTTTTTTTTTTTTTTTTTGAGACAGAGTCTTACTGTGTTCCCCGCCCGGGCTAGAGTGCTGTGGCGTCATCCTAGCTCACAGCAACCTCAAACTCCTGGGCTCAAGCGATCCTCCTGCCTCAGCCTCCCGAGTAGCTGGGACTACAGGCATGCGCCACCATGCCCGGCTAGTTTTTTCTATATATTTTTAGTTGTGCAATTAATTTCTTTGTATTTTTAGTAGAGACGGGGTCTCGCTCTTGCTCAGGCTGGTTTCGAACTCCTGAGCTCAAACAATCCGCCTGCCTCGGCCTCCCAGAGAGCTAGGATTACAGGCTTGAGCCACCGCGCCCGGCCACCAATCTGTTTTTTAACTCCGCTAGGCAAAGGCTATGCACCTTCCACTTGCTGGATTAGTTAGTGATTGAATCAAGAGTCTAGAGCACCTCTTGGCTACTTCCCGCTTATCCGACATTAATACGTGGTACAATGGCGTAGACATCTGTAACAACTTGTGACCCCTTCACACCTGCTCACTGACTAGAATAAAAAAGATAGACAACATGGCAAAAATGTAGAGAAACTGGAATCCTCACACATACTGGTGGGAATACACAATGGTGCAGCCTCCTTGGAAAGCAGATTGGAAGTTCCTGAAAAAATTAAAGCTACCCAATGACCCAGCAATTCCACTGCTCAGTATATACCCAAGGAGATTAAAAACATAGGGAACTGGGGAGTGACTGCTAATGGGTATGGGTTTCATCTGAGGTGATACAAATGTTCTGGAATTAGATAGTGGTAATGCTTGCATACTATAAATATACTAAAAACCACTGAATTGTATACTTCACGGTTTTTTTTTTGATAATCACTCCTGGAAGATGAATTGTATACTTCAAAAGGGTGAATTATTCCAAAAAATATGTTAATAAAAAAACAAACTTGTGGGTTGTCTGTCAAGCTCCAGGTTACCGTCCAGGCTAAGGACAGAAGTAGCCCTTACAGGAAGCTTCGTCCCCAGCAGCCACTGGACACCAAACCCTGGGCCTGGAATGCAGCTTGTTCACTCTTGGATCAGGCAGGAAGCCTGTTTTATCTTTTCCTCTAACACACATTCCAAAGTCCTGACTCCGTCCTCCTGCAGGAGTTTGATTTTTCCTGGGCTCACCAGGTCCCCTGGGAAAGCCACTGAGTGGCATGTTCCACGTCAGACGGCCCTGGTCACACTAAGCTGCGGCACACACGCGATGCCAGGGCAGATGCCAGGAGAATCCCACACCTGTCTCTCTGAGAAAAGGAAACTATAGAACCATTTGTTGGGTGCCTACTATGTGCAGGGCCCAATGTCAGGTTCTTATTTAGCCTTCGATTGTTCTGAAGGTGGCTCTCCTCACCCCCCCTTTACGACAGATGTTCAGTGAGGCTAAGTTACCTGTCCCAGCCGGCAAGCGGCACAAGTTCCTCTTCTCCCGTCCACCAGGAATCCACCCTGTAGTCTCGATTTCTCTGGGCTTTAGTTTCCTCCTCAGTGGAGGGGCACACGCATCACACCTACCATGCGGTATGGCAGAGGCATCAGAGGCGCCTGGCTTTTAATAAATTCCAGTCTGTGTTCCGCATGGGATGGGGCTTTGTTGGCCCAGGCAAAAAGGGGGACAGGCTGTGTGCTCTTTTCCCCACACGTGGATGCTACACCTCCACCCACGGAGCTGTTCTGACCTCTGACAAAACCCACCTCTCTGCTGAGCTTTTCCAGAACTTGACTCTCATCCTTGCTGCTGTGGTATGGAGGTGCACCTGTCCCGTTTCCACATTTAAAACCCCTCAAAGGTAGAATCTGAAGCGCAGGGCTGGGGTCGAGGGGCTCTGCGATGTCTGGAGGAGGGGCCCCCCATGTCTGCTGAGGCCCTGGAAGAGCAGCCAGGCTTCGTCTGCAGCCGGGACCTCCCAGTACTAGCTGCACCATTTCAAACAGCCTCCTTCACTTCCAGGTTCCTGCTTCTCAGGCGTAGAAGGCGAAGGGCGCTTGAAGGCCACAGGGCAGCTTTCCCAAGGATGGGAACACTGAGGCAGCCGGGCATCCTTTCCTCACCCACCCACCAGCCAGGACTGGGGAGCTGTAGCAGGGCTGGCGTCTCTGCCCTTTCCCCACAGCCACAACAAACCACAAAACACTCGTTTTCAAATCACATATGGCTTCTTTGACCCCATCAAATAACTTTATTCACACAAACGTCCCTTAATTTACAAAGCCTCAGTCATTCATACATATTAGGGGATCCACAGTGTTCAAGGAACTTAAATATAATGTATCATACCAACCCAAGTAAACCAAGTACAAAAAATATTCATATAAAGTTGTTTCACAATGTAGGTCCTAGATTACCAGCTTCTGTGCAAAAAAAGGAAATAAAGAAAAATAGATTTATTAACTAGTATTTGAAACTAACTTTGTGCCTGGCTTAAACCCTCCCTCACACTCAAGTCTGCTCCACGTCAGTATTTTAAAAGTCACTGAAATAGACTCCCCTGCTCTGATGGAAAGCGGTCCCTGGGCACAGAAGATTTCTTTAAATGCCCCTGAACAGGCTCCCTTCCTCCTGTGGCCTCTCCTGGAAAACACATGGGGCTGACCTTCTGATACCCTTGCAATCTTAGCGGGCCCTCGGGCAGCCAACGGCAGTGGATTCATCTCTCAGTGGTGGCTGTAGATGCTGACATTGGCCACTCCTATGCCACACCTACTGGTTACCCATTGAGGGCATCTCTCCAGATGGGACCCCCCCAGCCCCCCACAGGCTAGGTAGGGCAGGATCAGAGAGGGACCTGTGCTGTCTCGAGGGCTGTGCTGCGCCATGGGAGGATGGCAGATGCAATATCTCTAGGCTTCTGCCTCCGGAACCCGGTGGCCTGAAGAGCTGAATGTCAGTGTGGCTGTTCTGAGGTTGTCAGGCCCTAGGAGACTCCCAGCAGCTGTGTCTATCTGGGGGCTGCCACACAGGCCTAGGAGGGGAAAACAGGTCAAGGGGAAGGATAAGAGCCGCAAGTGCCCCTAGGTGTGGGGGGAGGAGGGGCGTAGGAGCAGGACTGGTGGTAGGAGGGACACTTGGTGGACAGGGCTGGAAGGGGCGGTGTGGAGCCAGGCGAGAGCAGAGAGTTAGGGACTCCTCCTTAGGGGGTGGCAGCCCGACGCTTGCCTCCCCAAATTTCCAAAAGATAATCCAGACAGCCATCCTGTTAAGATCTGTCTTCTAAAAGGTAAACAGCCAACAGCATAAAAAGAAAGATTCCCACAATGCCAACTCTTTTACTTCTCTTAGAAAAGATTCAAGCAAAAATAATAATCTTATTGCTTCAACACTGGTTTTCTAGGACAAGAGACAACTGATATGTTAGAGAGCTGAGAACACGGGAGGAAAGGAATGATGGAGGTGGGAATGTGCAGGGCGAGGAGGCTGCAGGGAAGAGGGCGAGTGGTCCTAGCACCACAGGGTGGGGAGCAGAGGGAGTGAAGGGTGCTCGCCTCTGTCCCGGGCATCGCTGCCTTCATTTGCTCTGGGGACCCCACTGGCAGCGCCATAGAGGAGGGCAGGCCCTGTCCAGAGAATCAAATCTCCACCCAGTGCTGGGCATGTTTCTCCTCCAGCTGTAAACAGGGTACTTCTTAAGTAAACATTTAACATACCCCCACGGAAAGGCCAAGGGGGCATACCACGTCTGGGTGGGAGGAAAGAATTCCTACTCTACTGTCCCAATGCCTCTGGGATGAGATGAGGCTGAGGCCTGCGAACCTTAGTCCCCGGTGCCCAGAAAGGGGTCAGATGGAGCCAGTCTTGAGTGAACAGACTGCGGCATCCTCCTGGCTAGAGGTAAGAGGCAGACAGTGTGCACCTGTCTGAAGCACAGTTTTTCCGTCCCGGGCTAGAGCTGCTAGTGAGTGCCCTGGTGCTGCGCGGATCTGGCTACAGCCCTCAGGAAGAGGGCGAGGGGGGCCGGGTGGGGGACCCTTCCCCCGTGGCTCTCTGGGAGCGGGAGAGAGTGAGAGGGCAAGGGACAGATGAACACAGGTAGAAGCCACGCCCTTCCAGCAGAGCCGGGAGGTGTGGCCGGGGGAGGACAATGGAATAAGGCACTATGATCTGTCCTGCTGATTCCTCTCGCTGACAGGGAAACCAAGCTCAGACCCGAACGGCTGAGGCCAAGATCCTCCCTCCAACAGGCTAGCCTCGTCACAGAGCCAAGGAGAAGAGAATGGATGACCCATGTGGAAGGTTCAGAAACTCCTAGAACCTGGCCAGGTCCAGCGAACGCGGTGGTGCTGAGACGGTGCACAGGGAGCTGCTGGCAGGCCTGAGACCTGGGGGGAGCGGCAGGCGCAGGTGTGCTGCGAAGACCGCAGGTGCCAGCCGGAGCCAGTCCACTGACTGGGGCAGAGCCAACGCTCGCTTGGGCCGACTCCCACCTAGCCGGCTGGGTGTCTGAGGTGGGCAAAGTAGAGAAAGCAGGAGAGGGAGGGACAGGCACTTGGGGCTGAAGAGCTGGCCCTCACGTGAGCTAGGGAAGGAGCTCTGCCACCAAGCCAGAGCTGGCTGGGAGTCCCAAAGATATGGGGGCCATGGAAGTTGGTGCCCCTACCATGCTGTCCATGTGTGACCTACAGGGACCTGTACTTGCCACCTGACACCAAGAAAGACAGCACAGGAAGCACTACAGCTCTAAGAACTTTAGACAGAGCTACAGCACCTGGGCAGGCCAGAGGGAAAAAATAGGCAAAAATGAAGAAACTTGTTAGACTGGAGCCTTGCTGGGGATGTTAGAGCGTGGGCTGCAGCCTAGGACAGAGGGCGTGCTGAGTTTTCCCATCTGCTCGCGTACAGAGACAGCTGCTCCTGGGAGGGGCGGGCAGAGGGGTGTGCACTGTCATTAGGGGACGCCGCTGTTGGATCTTCCCAGCTGCGACTTGGGGTACTCAGGAGGTACTGAGAAGTCGGAGAAGATGAGAGATGAGCAGTCGCAATGGACTCGGCCCTGGAAGGGCAGGGCCTGGTCACCGCCTGTGGCCCCGAAGAATCCTCCTCACGGCAGCCCACTCTCTGCCCACGAGGAAGATCCATGGCGTTGGGGGACTCGAGAGGAGGTGGAAACAATGTGAGAAACGTATTGCTGAGTCTGGCCTGATGTTGTGCTGGTCTCACCCAAACCCTCAGGGCCAAAGGGTTGCTGCTTTGGGGGAAAGGCCCCCTTGGTCACATACCAACCAAAATGCCCTCCAAATACCTCCCCTATTGATCCTATGCTGCTTTAGGTAAAACAGAAAATAAAAACGAATATGGGAGACTTCCTTTCCCCTTCCCCAGAGACATTATCCTATTTGGCCATAGGGGGTGAAAAGCCTCTGGAGTGGCCAAAGTCGCGTCCAGAGAGAGGGACAAGACAGAACATTGCCCCTCCTCCTTGCAGGGGGAGAGCAGATGGGTTCAGAGGAGCAGCCTGGGGGGCAGGGTGCAGGAGCGTTGCCGGAGAGCGTGAGAATGGCTACGACAGACGTCGGTAGGGGAGGTGGAGGGTCGTGGATGGGGAAGATTGAGGGCGACGAGCCCACAGATGGGCACCTAACAGCCACGGGGGCTACCCGGTCCCATGCCACCTCCCTGTTTTAGGCAGGTCCATTCTCTACCCATCTGACATATTTATACTGAGGACGGGCACCTAACAGTTAAGTCCCTGGGGGTGAGGGAGATGGCGCTTGACAGTTGTGTGTCACTGTGTGTGACACCATGGACCCTGGCACACAGGGCACACCCTTTGCTGCAAGACGGCAATGGCAGCCAGTTCAGGACACCCTGTTATCATGGCAATGGTCACAACTGGATCTTAGGGCCTGAGGCAGTCTGTGACACCTGGACACTTCTGGACACATCTGGGAAGGTGACAATCCAGGAGACAGTAGGTGAGGGGTGCTGACCTCACAGCAGTGACGAATGCCTGCTGAAGACCCAGCTGTGTCCCAGGCAAAGAGTTTGGCACAACAGTGTTTCCTAACAGAAGGTAGGTTTATAGAACTGGGGTAGGCGCTTCACTGCCAGCGAGTGGGAGATGGTCGCCCTCCACCCTCCTCTGACTTCCCAGTTACACAGGGGGCAGAAGAGGGAACGAATTTCCACCACTGTAAGTCCTGGTGTGGCCTGGGGCTCCCAACAGCTTAAAGAGAACAAACACGCAGTTTAGACCTTTGTTCTCGAGTTCTCCTGGCCAACCCTGGTCTTCCTCTTCCAGATGGTTCACCTCTGATCACAAGGCTGGGCACAAGGCTGGCCAGGGCAGCCGACCACGGAGTCCAGCAGTTCCTGCATCTGGTAGGGAGGTAGCCCGGAGGCCTTACGTCTTCATGCCCCGTTCTAGGAGAAGCCCCCAAATTCTCTATGGGGAGGCAGGCCTTCTCCATGGAAGTGAGATGCTATAAGCAGAACTGAGAGAGGTGTAAAAGAAGGAAGACAGAGGGAAAGTGAAGGACAAAAACAAAAGTAGCTCCCTAACCCCCATAAAAATTAAAATTGAAAATTATACATATGCCTTGTCCACATTGAATTTCTTTAAAGAAATTGGTGCCTGTCCACAGCATAGCTTCCTGTTCCTCTGAAGTCTTAATAGTTTAAATTAAAAAAGACAAAAAAGAAAAAAAAATTAAGCAAAACTAAAAGGGGGAAACCCAAACAAAAGCTTCACATTGCCCGAGATCCAGCTGTCAGGAGATCGCCAACCGGCCAAGCCACCACCTGTCCTCTCTGCCGTCCTCTGTACGAGACATGGTGAGACTGTGGGTCCCGAGGGATCGACCTGGAAGACAGAAGGCAGGCAAGGAGTGGACATCGGGTCAGTGGGCCTGAGGCACCAGCTCCCAACCCAGAGGGACGCTGAAGCTGTGTATGCTGGGGGAGGAGTTTTCTATATGTACAGAGTCAATCCGGCTTCACTGCAACTGCCCTGCTGTGGATACATGCTATTATTTTCTCAGACAGGGAAACTGAGGTGCAGGTTAAGTAACTTAGCCAAGGTCACGACGATTAAGGGCAGACCCCGGCTGGGAACTCAGGCATGCTGGCTCCAGCTACCAATATAATCATGGAGCCCATCCCTCATTACCATCCTGGCTTCCCTGTACTGCCAGGAGAAAGACACCATGGGACCCACCCTGGGTGGCCCGTCCCCACAGACCTTGGCAGCTTTGGTTACTCTCATACTTTCCTCCCCAGCCTCTATGACTAATTATGCTGTAATAGACATCATGGCAACCCCCTCGAGGTTTCGTTATCCTGTTTTAGAGAAAAGTGAGGCTCAGGCCTCTGAGAACCTGAACTAGGCTACCTGCCAACATCTAAGAGGGGCTAGAGTCCCACAGCCAGGGCCAGTGTTGGATTCCGCCACCTCCCCAGAGCCCACCGCCTGGCCCCACGCTGTCCGCTGCAGCATGCTGCTGGGATTAAGGATTAGGGCTCTGGAGCCAGAACCTGTGGCCCAGTGGATAGGCCCTGCCACTTGACTGCGGGTGAATTTAACTCCTCCGTTCCTTGGTCTCATCACCTGTACCTACGTCACAGACAACTACAGAAATTAAATGAACTAATACACATAAAACAGAAGAGTGCCTGACCCTATTAGTATTAGCTATTATTTGGGAACCACTTTGATGCCAGGCCTCAGGAATAAGACAAGTATAGCCTGCCTTGCAGGGGCTTATTCTAGTAGAGGCCTAGAATACGGGAGCCTACAGAGACATTAGTCTTGGGCCAGCCCCCACTCTGAGCCACCTGATCAGTACTAAGTATAGCCCTGTCCTAGGCGGGGCAGGACATCCAGGACAACGATGCTCCTGAGCGTCTGGCCACACCGTGAACGGCTGGAGCAGACCAGTCGTTCCCTGTGTGCCTGGAATCCTGTGGGGGCTCCCCTGCTCTGTAAGGCAGCACCAGCCACTCTCTGCAGCCTGAGAGGTGTCCTCCCTGCCAGCACCCCTGCCCCATCACTTGCCACCTGTGCAGTCTGACAAGATGGCCTGTTGTCCTCAGCTCCTGGGGAGGCGCCTAGCCAGTCCTCACAAGAGGCAGCGGAGTAGGGCAATACTGGGCAATTTACTTCCTGTCGGCCTCAGCTTCTTGCTTTGAACACCGGGAGTTCTGAGGTCTGGGTGGAATGGTGACTGCGAAACACCTGGACCGCAGTGGGTGCTGACATCCTCGGTGAGCCCACTGTCCCCAACCAGAGACCGTAATGTGTTAGATTTAAACAGGCCACAGTTCTCAGCCACTCAACCATCAAAACCGCTTCTAGCGAGCAGTGAGGGTGCCAGGGGAGGGGCACTCCCCATACCACTGGGGAGTGGAAGAAGCTTCTGGAAGGCAGTTTGGCAATGGGATTTCAGAGCTTTAGATACGTTTAGACCAGTAGCTCCTACAATTCCGTTCCTGGAAGTTAAGCTTAAAGATAATCCTAAATATAAAAAGGATTTTATGAATAAAGATGTTCACTGAAGTATTATTTATAATTACAAGGCAATAACTCGTAAGTCCAAAAATTAACTTGCAAGTCCAAATATAAGGGACCATTAGGCAAATGACCCATCAACTCAACGATCTCTATTAGAGGAAATGAGATAGTTGTGTGGCATTTTGAGCATTATGGTACAACCCATTTCCCTGGTAAGTGAAAAATAGTAGGTTACAAAGTTCTGTGGCATATCGCATGACTATAACTACCTGAAAAAAACAAACCCTCCAGTGCAGGACAATCTGGCAAGGAATACAACAAAATGTCATTGTACTTGTCATGCATGGATTGTCCTCTTTCCCCACTTCTGATTTTTAATATTGAACACACGCTATATTTTCACACTTTATTTTTTGATAGGGTACTTTAATGAACAAGAAAAGTTGGCAGCTCCAACAGAAAGGTCCAGACGTGGGCTCTGGACTGGGCTCTTCCACACATAGTAGACAATGGAGAATTTCCCACACCTGTCAAACGAGAGGTTAGGCTGTGTGATTCCCTGCTCCGCAGCACAGGTGCGGAACGACCCAGAGTCTGTGGGGAGGGAGGTGGGGTGGCTGATAAAGGCACTGGGAAAGTGTGTGATCTGAAGAGAAAACACAGGATTTCTCAGGCCCAGCCTTTTACTCTGGCTGCTTCTGTTGCTCTGCCTGTTAAACCCCCTCAACAAAAATCCATTTGTGGGTCTTGTATCCCAGATTTTGACTTGGAAAAATAAAATGACCATAAACATACTCCCTGATGAGGCAGCAGCCATCTCAAACCTACCTTTCTTTACTTAGCATGCCTGTTGCTTTCTCTCTGAGCTTTCAGTACATGAAGCAGACCAACCAGAAGATGAAGGAAGGTGTTTAGAGGGACCCTCACCATATAAGACTGTGGTCCCCAACCCCTGGGCCACGGACCGGACCAGTACTGTGGCCTGTTAGGAACCAGGCTGCAGAGCAGGAGGTGAGCGGCGAGGGAGCGAAGCTTCATCTGTATTTACAGCCATTCCCCATCGCTCACATCACTGCATAAGCTCCGCCTCCTGTCAGATCAGTGGAGGCATCAGATTCTCATAGGAGCAGGAACCCACTGCAAACTGCACATACGAGGGATCTAGGTTGTACGCTCCTTATGAGAGTCTAATGCCTGTTGATCTGAGGTGGAGCTGAGGCAGTGATGCCAGCGCTGGGGAGCGGCTGCAAATACAGATCATCATTAGAGAGGTTTGACTGCACAATAAATGTAACACACTTGAATCATCCCCAAACCATCCCTTCCCTGACTGCTCCCCACCCTCCGTCCGTGGAAAAATGAGTCTTCCATAAAACCAGTCCCTGGTGCCAAAAAGGTTAGAGGCTGCTGACCTAAGACATTAAGACCTTGTGAAATATGACAAAAAAGCCCATGGAAATTGTATGGTCACATGTGATATGTCAAAGTCATCTTTGGGACCAGTTGTCACTTTAACATTCCTTTTTTCTCTCTGGCAGGACCTAAGCTAAGGACAACCTCCTCAAAAGAATGCCCCTTAGCAGGAGGGAGCACATGGCAGCTGAAAAACAGTGTTGACAAGGAGGCAGAGACATTCAGAAGCCAGAGGTCCCTTTTTACATAATGAACAGTAGAACAGAGTGTGACTGCAGAAGGTCAAACCAATAGCACAGTACTCGGCAAGAGCTCCTGAGACAGCAGCCTGTAATGACCGCTGTAATCACGGGTCCCTGCCAGGAAGTGAAGCTGACATTTCCCCCACCCTCCTTCCAGCTCTGGCACTGGCTCCGGCCCTCCCCTTGGAGGCCCCAGGACAGTCCACAGGTCTGAGTCTGGTTCTTCCTTGTGGGCAGGGAGAAGGAAAATAAAAGGGTTCTCTATTACAGAGAGAACCTTGGCTTTGGGTTCCTCTCCCATTTCCCATCACAGAAGGTACAGGAAGCTCACTGGAAGCTAGTAGAGGTCCTTTCTATAGCTATGAATAGGAATGGCTCAGACCACATGGTTCTGGTTGGAGCAGCAAACTCTCCTAGGCACTGGTTGGCACAATAAAGGGTGTAGGTCCTGGCCCTGGCAGGCCCTTGAGAAGACCTCAGGCTTGCTGCACTTCATCCTAGCAGATGCCACCTCTCCGCTCCCTGACTGCCCAGGATGTGGTCTGACTGTGTGGGTACCAGCTTCAAGGTTACCAGGGCTTGCCTCACCCTTCTCAGGGAACTCCCACCTCTGACCACAGAGCCCTCCTCGAAGGCGCGACCACACCGTCTAAGACTAATGAAAAACAGTCATGTGATAAACCCGCAATTGATAGTTGTGGCGTATGTCTGATTATTGCGAGGATGGATTTGGTCAATTCTAACAAGGGAATAGGCCCAGATTAAGAGATGAAGCAACTTGCTGGACATCACAGAGCTGCTGAGCTGCAGAACCAGCACTTAATCCACACTTGCCAGCTTCACTGTCCAAGGTCTCTGCACCCTGACAGTCTTCATTTGGTGCTTTCAAGGCTGGCTCAGCCAGTGGTTCGCAGAGTGCGCAATCTGACGTGGTCTTTGGGGCGGAAGGTGTCAGTGGATCTGGGAAGGTCTGTCTGCAATCCTTACCTTTCTTATTTCAGTTCTTGGACTAAGTTCTCTCAGCACATCCCACCTTCTTATTAATTCTCTATAATTATAACAGCAATCACTTATTGAGCAGTTAGTACGTACCAGCCAAGTTCTAAGTGCTTTATAGGTTAACAACCCAATAAGGCAACTTTCAACTCCCCTGTACTGCGTTCCAATCACTGTGTCCTTAAAAGAATCAAATGTTTTACATCTATTGCTTCCTTTCGCCCCAGTAACACTATAAGGCAGTAGCTATTGTCACCGAGTCTTAGAGATGAGGAAACGGAAGCTCAGAGAGAAGGGCCACAGAGCTAGCAAGCAGCAGAGAAAAGGGCTGAACCTGGGGCAGTATCAGTCCAAAGCCCCTGCTTTTGACACTTAACTATAAACATGTAACATCCCTTCCTAGAGAGACAAGAAGAAGAATTAAGTAGAATTTAAAATCCATTTAATCCCTTCATTTATAAATAGAATCACTCAGGAAAAGGCTCCTGGAAGGCTTGGCTTAGATGCCTGTGCACAGGTCTGATGCTCAGGGCATAAAGGGGGATGTGGTGCCAACCTGGCAGTGAACAGCCTTCTGGCAAGTTCCTCCGCCGGCCAGGCAACTGTCTGGTCTAAGGTGACAGGGGAACCAAAGTGCTCCCATTAAGGCCATCAGCAGCTTGGAGAACAGAAGCTGGGAGAGCCGAGGTGAGCAGGGCACAG